ATGTTCGCACTTCCCATTTTCCAAATCCGGTTACCCTTGGGCTGTGTCTTTGATGTTAATGTAGCTAAACCCCCAGGGAGACTGTCAGAATTTTATCCGAGGAAAACAGACACGGAACGCTGGGCTCTCTGATTGCTGGCCTCCTTAATCGGGAAGAAATTCACAAAAGGCCATTCAGTGAAACCCGGCTGTAAAGCTGTTGATACTGTTCTTTTCCACGATGGTGTCCTACATATCCATCCCCACATCAGCAGAACCTCCCACAGTGCATCCCTACTCAAACTACTACATTTTTAAAAATTATTTATTTATTCATTTATTTTTGGCTGTGTTGGGTCTTCGTTCCTGCGCGCGGGCTTTCTCTAGTTGCGGTGAGCGGGGTCTACTTTTCCATCGCGGTGCGCGGGCTTCTCATTGCGGTGGCTTCTCTTGTTGCGGGGCACGGGCTCTAGGCACCCGGGCTTCAGTAGTTGTGGCTTGTGGGCTCTAGAGCACAGGCTCAGTAGTTGTGGCACACAGGCTTAGTTGCTCCGTGGCATGTGGGATCCTCCCAGACCAGGGCTCGAACCCGTGGCCCCTGCATTGGCAGGTGGATTCTTAACCACTGCACCACCAGGGAAGTCCCCGCAAACTACTACATTTTTATTGGGTTACATGAACATCTGATATTCAAAGGATCTCATTTTTGCTTAGAGGAAGAGAAGTGATAAGTGTGCTTTAAAAATGCATTCAAGGCCTCATCATGCTTGTTTGTCCTGGCTTATTTCAGGAAGGCAGTAAGTCAGAGGCCATCATATTAATAGAGGACTTTACATGCACAGTGTGTGCCCGTGTCTGAGATATTTTGTCTCCACACATTTACAAGCTCCTATCATCCACTGCTGGAGTCTGAGAGTGAAGGTCAACCACAGGGTGTCCTGGGGCCCAGGTAGACAGCAAAACAGAGGGCACAGCAGCATCAGATGCAATGAGCCTTTCCTTCCCGGGGGGATTTATGAGATTCCTTCCCTTAGGCCTATCTTAGCTCTGCTGCTAAAACAAAATACCACAGATGGCGGGGCGGGGGGCTTAAACAACAGACATTTACTTCTGACAGCTCTGGAGGCTAAAGTCAGAGACCAGGGTGCTAGCATGGTTGGGGTGTCGTGAGAGCCTTCTTTCGGATTTCTGGGATGCACACAGCCACTTTCTCACTCTAGCCTCACATGCTGGAGAGAGAGCTCCGTTCTCTTCTTACAAGGACACAAATCCCAACATGGGGGCCACACCCTCATGACCTCATCTAACCTTAATCACCTCCCAAAGGCCCCACCTCCAAATACCGTCCCACTGGGGGTTAGGACTTCAACATGAATTTTGAAGGCAAACATCCAGGCTATACCAAGACCACTGAAGCAGTCCTTCCGAAGACTGATCAAAATAAATGAACTCATTTACATTTCTTAACATCAGGGATCTAATGACCTCACATGACAAAGAGGCACAACTTGATTCCTGAACCTACATCCAGGCCAACACAAAACCTCCCTGGGAAGAAATCAGGGCATGACCCAACGTGCATTAAGCCAGTGATGCCATGGTCAGAATGGCCTGTGACACCACGCTGCTCCCATGGAAACCCAGACAGACCGTGGCTGGTGCGCTCACCCCTGTGAGAATGTAACGCAGTCCCCTACTCTCTCAACCAAGATAATGGGCAAAATTAGTATGCTGTGCCAATAGAAGCCTTGTGTTTCTTTTTATAGGAATACACACTCCTTAAATTTCTTTTCCTTTGAAAAGGAAAGCCTAGACAACAGATACCCATTTACCTTAGCCGACTGCCCAAGAGCCCTGGCCTCGAGCCCCAAGGCTCATCTGCTAAAAGCAGGCCTTTGCTGCTCTGGTCCCCCAAGCTCTGGCGCCATGGGGCTGAGCGGTGGCACCAGAACATCACCTTGGTGGACAGACCTAACCTGCACAGGCCGCCGAACCCCCCTTGACTGCCTCTAGCTCTGAGCTTTCTCAAGGCAGCCCCACCAGCACCCCTCTGGTCCTCCCCCAACCTCACAGCACATGGGTCCTCACACAGGCCTGTTTCATGGCTGATCTAGGTCTCTGCTTTTCTCCACCTAGAGAATCAGAAATTCAGGAGATGGTCTGTGCAGAGTAGATGTGCTTTGCTGGGACAAGCTTCCCGGCCAGGCTTACTGCAGACCCAGGGGACAGAGGCAGGCTGACAGCCACTGACCATCTAGCCAAGCTCAACAAGGAGTTTCAGGAGCCCTCAGTTTATTTACAAACTGAGATGAATTCACCTTTTACATATAGCATCCAGGATGTCTCTGCTGGACTCAGAGCCAACTCAGGAAATGCCTCTCCGTCCCTGGGACCTCTGTGCTGGGCAGGGTCATCCCCTCCAGCCTAGACGCCCCAGTACTACCCCCGCCACCACTCAGCCCTTGGGACGCGCTGGAGGGAGGTCCCAGCCTCCTCCGCAGAGCCTCCCTGCCCCCTACGTGTGGCTACCTGTGCCCTGTCACACTCTGGGCCCTAAGGAGAAATGTAACCCTTCTCCATCTAAACCACCCAAAACTGGTTTTTATTAAGATTCCTACTCTTTTTAACCATTTTTTCATTTTAAGTGGCTTCATCACCTCCTTCCCTGGGCATTTTTGCAGCCTCAGAGGACGGGGCTCAGGCACTGGGAACAGGGTCTGACAGTAAGCGACAGTAAGTTCCATTACAAGGTGTGATTCCAGACTTTCTACTTACAGATCATAACACTGCTTTGGGGCCCTGTCCTCAGGTTGAAATAACTGAGTATAAAAATATCTCTTTCTGTATGTGTCTCAACCTCTCTCTCTCTCTGCCACGTGCAACATCTTGGGGATAACTTGTGTTTGTTTAAATAGCTTACTTATAAACAACAAAACCTTACTATGGATGTATTCCTTAATGAGGTAAAAGCCTGTACAATATTGGTTTTCTGATACTTTTGTGAAAAAAGAAAAGCCCACAGTCCATGCTGTGTTGTTTTAAAAATTTTGCCAAAGGATAAAGCTCCAACGCATGACTGAGGAGAGGACATGGGGTCAGCAGTTCTTATCGGCAAGGTATCAACTGTATGCATGGTAGCATCCCTTCCACTGACCAGATACACAACTCCTCTCGTTTTATTTTAATTAGGTTCCTGTTCGAAGGAGAAAAAAGTCTACTCACACAGATTACAAAAAGGTGAAAACTGAATAAAAGCATACCATTAATTAAAGATGTCTGGGAAACATAAGAATAGATACAGATATATAGATTAGATAGATACAGATATAGATATAGATATATAACCTCACGGTAGATATTTCTATTTCTCATCCATGTTTCCAGTTCTCTCCTTCCAGGCACATGCCCCACTGGAGTCAGACATGGTCATGTGACTTGCCTCGCCAATTAAACATGGACAGAAATGACATCTGTCACCTCCAACAGAAGCACTGAGAGGCAGTTTGTCATTCTCCCCTGCTCTCTTCCCCTTCTAGGGAAGACACTGAGGTTGCATATTTGATGGCCCCTGAGTGTGGGAGACTGCAAACATTGCCCCAATTTCTCCCCTTCCCTGAACCCACAAGCCCCTGCTGTGTACTTTTGAGAGCTCCTGACTCTGATCCTGGGCTCAGCCAGACTGACTGTCATCACATCTCTCCACCTGCTATCAAGAAACTAAAATGACCTCTGAAGCAAAGCAAGTAAGACCACTGAACAATCGAAATGAGTAAATAAAATTGTACAGGTGAGTCTCTATTCTGATTATTGCAATCACATTTCAGGTCTCTTAAGCTTAGTATTTTTTTCAATATTCTAAGTTAACAAATTACTATGATTAATTAACATAACAGCAAGGAATTTATTGTTCAGTAAAGTGTGAGGGACTTCAAATTCACTGTAAAGATGGTATTAAGGAAAGCCAAAAACATCTATTACATCCTAGTTCACTGTAATGTGCAATTTAATTTTTGATTTGTGTGATGGTTTAGTGATTTTTTTAATGGTCCTTGTTGTAATAGTAAAACCTATACTGTCTAGCAAATCAATAAGCATATAAACATGCTCTTTCACCATACGGGAGTTTAGTTCCAGTTTCTTACCTCTGCAAGCTGACACAAAGTTGGTGGTATTCAAGAGTTACAATAAATTGTGTGTGTGTGTGTGTGTGTGTGTGTGTGCATGCACACATGTGCACAGGAGACAGGTAAAGAAAAGCAATCATTTATACCATTAGACCACATTCAATGCTCATCATGACTGTTTTCCAAAAGTATCCAACAGGCATTACCCAAAGATGTGCAAAACAGAAAAAGTGAGCCTAGTGTCTGCATGGCCTTTCCAGATAAGTAGCAAGGACCAAGAACTCGGCTTAAAAACCACGAGAAAAGAAGAGCCACAACTTCTTAGAAGCTAGAAGACTTCAGTGGTACCATTACTAGATACCAAAAATAAACCAGGAAATTATTTATTTACATATATATACAGATATAAATAGGCATATATATATTTCAGTGCTGACTGCATATTCCAAATAGAATCTTCAAGAAAGAGGCCACATAACTCTGAAGACATTTGAAAAGGTGAGAACAGCATGAAATCAGGGTTTCCATTTTCCAGATTATAGAGAATATCACGATATCAGCCCTGAGGTCGCTCACAGACACAGTAATCCTACTTTCCTCTTCCCAGGAGCAGAAATAAAAACAAAATTTCCTTTTAAAAGTAACATAACGATTATATGCATAGCGCAAGGAACTAATTTCTATCCATCGGTCAATTCACTGGAGAATATCTGAGTTGAGCCACATAAACCAACAGAAAACACTGACATCACATTTAATCACACAGCAGCGTCAACTTTACGCATACGAATTCTTAATTATGACGCGCATATAGACGGAGACCCAATTCGATACGCAGAACAAAAGCTGCGAGCGGGTGAGCCCGGTGCCCTGCGCCCGGGAAGCCCATTGTCCTACCTGAGATGAGTGAGACGGTGTCTTTCTCCCATGAGACGACAGTGATGTACGCCTCCACCGAGGAGGGGATAATGCACTTGAAGACCGCAACATTGCCTCTCATGGTTTTCTGGTCCTCCACACGGACTGTATAGGGCTCCCGTAAAACTGGAAGGCAAGAAGAGGACCCGGGTAACACACACAGGCTCATTCCGAGAGGATCCCATCTGAATATACACATTGTATCTTACACATATCAATTGCATCAAATATATTTATTGGAAAAAAATTTTTAAGAAACCTACATTTCATGTCTTAAAGACTTTTCATTCTGTTAACAATAAACTACACTAAGAACTAAAAAGCATGAGTATATCTAAAAGCAGTTAATCTACTCTCTAAACACATCTGGACATGGAAAGCAGTTTCTTAAACAGAAGTCATGGTGATGGGAGACTGCCCTCCATGTCCTCTGAGGACCAAGGAAAAAATGTGAGACTATCAAGGAAAAGAATTTAAAAAATCAAGAAAGGCCACCTCTCCTGGGAATCCTCGAAACTAGGTGACAATTAAAACAACTCTTCCTACGTAATTTTTATGACAGCTGCAAAGCAGTTTTGGAAAGAATCATCCTGCTTCCTATCACTTAGGGAAGCATGCTGATTAAGGGAGCCTGCCCAGACATCCCCAACAGTAGGAGTAGCCCAGAAAGTGCCCAGAGGGGACTTCCACAAACTAGATGTCTAGGCTAGAGGCAAGGGGCGCAGGGATCCAGTGCCCACCCTGCAAGCCCAACTGCCTGGGTTCAAATCCAGGCCCTACCACTTTACAGTGAGCAAGTTCTCTTGCCACACATATAATGGGGATTTTCATAAAAATATCTACCAAGTAAGTCAATTTTGATGATTCAATCAGTTAATGTGGCTAAAGCACCCGGAACCATGCCTGCCATGAACAGTTTGCATAAAGCTACCTGGATCCACACCGTCTCCTGGTGTGGGGAAGACCTCTGCTTCCAGGATAAGGAGACGTGAGTGTGTCTAATCCAGGTTATGCCTCCCTCCAGCTCTATAAATATGGGCGAAAGACTTATTTCTCCAGTTTTATATCCTCAAATTTGAAATGAGGGGGTTGGGATAGGAAGATTCAAGGTCTGAACTCTGTAAGTCTATGATTTTTCTAAGATATCCACAGAGACAACTTGCCTTACCATCTAATTAGCTCTCTGAAAGTTTTAGTCATTTATTGGACAAATATGTGTCAAGAAAACTGGCCGTGAAATTAATTTCAAAAGAAATTAATATACCAACAGATATAAGAATGAGTTTCTAAAGGGAAATCTCTTAATAGGCAGACAAAAACAATGCTCCAGAAGCACTTTTACGATCGGTGCTAGCTCTGTGATATGCTAAGTAGTTTAGTATCAGAGTATGTCATTCTTAAGAGTATTGATAAGAGGATGGCTCCCAGTACTGATTTTTAAATATTACTATATAATATTTTCCCAACTTGGAGAATTTTTTCATTCCTATCCCAAACCAGAGAGACTTTCAGAAGTTTAGGAATCTTTTGAGACCCTCATTCCTGCACTCTTTGTGCAACATGATGTGATGGTCCAGGTGGCAGTTCCACATCTTCAGGAGGTCCACTGGGCAATCATTCAGGGTACTCAAGAAACATCACTGTTATACACAGAGGGGGAAACTGACTTTGTAAAGAAAAACACCTCTGATAAATAGCCCTTTTGAGGGAGTGGAGGTCTACAGTCATAAATTGGAAAGAGGCAACAAAGAGACAGATGAATTAATCAAACTCATCAATGAATGAGAATTTGGTCCTAGTGGGAGACTAGAAGACAGAAAATAGGAAAAGGAGCATAGAACAGAAGAGAATAGGGGACTGGACAGCATGGCGAAGGCCAACAGAAAGAGCTCACTATCACAGGGATGGGGTCACCTAAGCAGGTGTGTGAGTCCAATTTAAGTTTGTGTTTGCTGATGTGTGTTTCTAAGCCATAAAGTCACTCCATATCCCCAAACCTTCAGTAAACAAATGGCAACAAATGGCAAACAAACGGTGGGGGAATTTTTAATGGAAATCAAGGAAGGGAGCCAAGTTCTATGTCTCAGACAGGAAAGGGCGGGGACAAGAGAAAGTGCCTACAGAGAATGGAAGGTGGGCAAGAGGCTTACCCACAGCAAGTTGCTTGCTAATGCACTGTGGTGCTGCTAGCCTGGGGCAGAGACAGGCTCCACCACACTCCACTGTGTACCCACTCCACCCATACCTCTGCCCAGGCCTCCACTGGATGCAGGGTGCCAGCGTTTGCTGGATGGGGCAAGGAGGAAGAGGCTGCGAAGGGCTCAGGGCACCAGGGATCAGAGGGGCAGCAGTGGCCACTGGGTGGGGTTAGGGAGGTAAAGGCCCAATGGGGCTTGGGGCACCCAGAGCCTGAGGAAAGGGTGGCTGGGAACCCACCCCAGGTGGGGTGACATGAGACGGGACCCTCCAAGAGCTGAGAAACCAAGCCCCCAGAGCATGTTCCATTCTCCCATCACACTTCACTCACAAAACACAAATGGAAAGATAGAAGCGTTAGTATTTCAAGATGGCAACAGGAGAGCTTGAAGCCTGAGCGCAGGCCCTCAGCCTTGTGTGACCACACTGGCCCCATCCCATGAAGTCAGCCCTGATCCCAATCTGCCTATGCAGCAATCAGAGGAAGTGGGAAGATGGGATGGAGAAAGTTTGGAGAACTGGGCATTGCTGAGGAAGGCAGGTCCTTTCCTGAGAGGTTGGATTCAGATTTCTCCCAACCCCCTTGATCCTTATGTCTGAAGTGATAAAACATAAACAAATGCCCCAGGGTTGGATGCCTTAGGAACACCAGAAGACTCCGTGCAGGTAGGAGGGCTTTATGCCCGATGTCCATCCTATTGGGGCAATGGTTATCTGAGGCACAATGAGACCGTAAGGCACAACATCACTTTTATAGAAACTGGGGAGGGGGGGGGGTTGCTCTTTTATTTTGTAGCTGATTACTTAACTTGGGAGATGCTTTAAATATTCAGTTACATCTTGAACACACCCTCATGTCAAGGACTGCTCAGGGACTAAGGAGATCCTCACATTTTATGGAATAATTAACTGAAGAAAGAAAGAAAATTCACATGGCAGAACACCTAGAAGAAAACAGGCAAAGACTGAAGTGCACAGTCCTGAAAATGACTGAAGGTAACAGGAGTTCAGGGAAGGAGGGAATCTGGGTGCCTTGAGCTGGCCCTGAAGGATCAGAAGGACTGAAAGGTGGAAGTGAGCACAAAATATTCCAGAGACTGAGACACTGGCCCAGTGCTGTTTAGCTAAACCAGCCTCCCGACCACAGCCGCTGTGCAGGGCCGGCAACAGGCTCGCAGAGGCCTCCGTTTCCTTCATCTAAATAACATCTACTTCACACGGTTGTGCAGTTAACACAGAGGATGTCTCTAGAGGACTTGGCACAATGTCTAGCACATAACCTGTCTGAGTCTCTCTGACTGCTGGCCGGAGAAGCCTACCTGAGCTACACTGAGCTGAAGACACTATAAGCTCTGGAACCTGTAAGAGGGCCTTGAGAAGGGTACCGCAGCCTGTGTCCCTTTGATTCTGGCTTCATCCTTCTCTTTACCCACAGATAGGCTTCCTCTGCTTTTCTGGGCCACATGGAAGATGGAAGGTGTCTGGCCCACAGTTCCCAAAATCTCTCTCTCCAGATTTCAGTTTCAGTTTCAGAGGACACAGGAACTGATAGACTAGCTTGGTTAACTGCCCTCCATCAGTTCAATCACCTGTGACCAGGGATTCAAGACCATTTTGCATGATGTGGATGCAAGAGCCAATTAAGGGGGTTAATGTGGCCTGGGCAGAGAGGTATATAGATGCCCACCATATGTGCAGCTATTATTATCTACTGTTATTATATGAACATCAAGACAACTCTAATAGGTCAGACACATGCTATCACTGGCTTGTTCTTAAACCAACTTTAAAAGATATAATTGACGTTCAATAAACTGCACATATTTACTGATGTTTTAACACATGTACATACCCATGAAGTCACCACCATAACCAAGATAAAAATAGATCCATCATCCAAAAGTTTACTTATTCTCCTATGGAGTCCCTCCTTCCCATCCTCTTTACAGGCAACCATGGATGTGCTTTCCGTCATTATAGATTAGTCTGCATGTTTTAGAGTTTATATAAATGGGATCATATAAGACATATATACTTACCCGGCTTCTTCTATTCAGTATAACTATTCTGAGATGCCTCCCTGCTATTGTCTTATCAATAATCCATTCCTTTTCATCCCCTTGTGTGGATAAGTAACAATTTATCCATTTATCTGGTGATGGACTTTTTCACCCACTTTTGGCCATTACAAATAAAGCTGCTATGAACATTCATGTAAAACTCTTTGTGTGGACATATGCTTTGGGTAAGTACCTAAGTATAGAATGGATGGAATATATGGTAGGTGTTTGTCTTTTCAAAAAACTAACTGTCCAAAGGGGCTGTACCATTTAGATTCCCACCGGAAGTTTATGAGAGTCCCAGGTGCTACATATTCTCACTAACACTTGGTCGGTCATTGTTTTTAATTTTAAATATGCAGAGGAATCTATATCATTGTGGGTTTAATTTTCATTTCCTTCAAGATTAATGATGCTAAGCATCTTTCATGTGCTCACTAGTCATTGCATATCTTTTTTGTTGCTCTACCTCTCCAAATTGCTAACCCATTTTTTAAAATAGGGGTGTTTGTTTTCTTCTGATTGGGTATTTAGATTTCATTATATTTCTGGATAAAAGCCCTTTAACAGATATATGACTTAGAAGTATTTTCTCCCAGGCAGTGGCTTGCCTTTCTATTCTCCTAACAGTATCTTTAAATGAGCAGAAGTTTTTAATCTTGATAAAATTCAATATAACAACTTGCTCCATATGGATTTAACTTTCGGTGTCACATCTAAGAAATTTTTAAATAACTCAAGGTTGCAAAAATTTTCCCCCAATTTTTTCTTTAAAAGTTTATTGATTTATATTTAGATCTATGATCCATTTTGAGTTAATTTTGTATACAGTGAAAAGTGGGGACTGAAGCTTTTCTGTTTTTTTGCATA